ATGCCGTCACCGCTGCCAAACCCTCGTGCTGCGCGCGCTGTCGAACCTGCGTGCCTAATGTGCCGCGCGTGCCACTACCGGGTCGCGGGTCGAGTCAGGTCAACCCGGCAAGTCGGCCGGGTCGGGTCCGGGTTGAAATGTCCGACCCATTTGCAAAAATGGGTCGGGTTCGGGTTGACCCGTTTAGATCTGGATCGGGTCGGGTTCGACCCGAACCCGACGGGTTGACCCGAATTGACACCCCTAAATCTCCCTTTATAATTATCATCAAATTTTCAACAAGTGGCACTAATTGGGCTATGTTGCAAGCCCACATCACGAACTCAATGAGCCTGATCTAATTTGGGCTTCAAAGTGATAAATAAAATAGTTTGGTGATTGGAAATTTATTGAGAGCTAATAAAGTGATGTTTATGGAGGTAATTTGAGATAAATTTAAGCTTATTTAATCTGAATTAAATTTTATCAAATCTTATAGTTAATGAAAGCATTTTCATAACATTGTATGTTTTACTTACTTTTTTTTTTTTCTATTTTAGGGATGCTTCTCTTGGTCACCAAAAATGACAATGATCATGATTAGAATTTAGAGTCATAAAAAAGCTTGGTACTTGTGAATAACTCATGTTTTGCTCAATACGAAGCTCATATTTGATTCGTTTATTAAGTCAATGAGCTGAACATGAAAAAATATGTTGAGCTTGTAATTTGAACAAGCTAAATATGAACAGAGACCCTATTTGATTATGTTTGACCCAAATTGGCTTGAAATGATTATTTATATTCATTGTTGCGTCCAGGAACATTCACAATGGTACAGAGATATAGACTTTAGCATCTTAGTTTTGAAGGATGATCCAATACTCAAACAGATAAAAGAGTAGGGTGAAATATTCACAAGTGACACAAAATGTTTACATAGAAAACCTTGAAGAGGGAAAAATATCACGGGGCCTGATCCAGTTTAAATGAATCCACTAGTATTGATAGTTGATTACAAATAATACCTCACCATAAAGGAGGGTGCTGGTTCAATGTAATAAATACACATTATATAGAGTACAATACATTGCAACAGTTCTTAAGAGTGTAGGCGACGTTGTTTAGAAGGACAGTAGTCTAATGATAAATATTAACTTGGCATATTAATTTATGATGCTCTTAAGTCACAATTCGTATGTATACTATATCCTCAATCATTATTTTTGTTTTTACTCAAGCCCTACTAGTCCCTCTCCATTACTATCTCTTTCAGGTGCATACAAACATAAGCTCTTTTTTTTTTTAACTTGTACTTTACTTCTCTCAGGTGTTTCCAGCCACTATTATATATAATGTTTCTCTCAAATTGCATCTCTTCACTCTTAGGTAATTCTTATGGCTTCTCTTTCTCTAAACAAATAGATGGTTTTGGGCTTATTGTAGGTGTATGTCTTAGTTTTGCAATGCTAGTATATTGGAATTCTTAAATGTGAGGTTATGATGACTATAAATATTCCAATATTATTAAATTTTGTGTACTTGGCTAGTCAGCTGTTATCTTTTATCATAGTTAAAAAAACTATAACTTCCTTGCAGTTAGCATGTCACACTAGAATGTATCACCATAGAGGATTGAAGTATAGAGGAATATGGAGAAAAACCTAAAAGTAGAAACTAAATCCTCTATGATTTAAAGTAGCATGTTACTGTTTAACTCTTTGAGTGAATTCAATTTTTAATTATTGATATTCCTATTATTATGCAAAGAGCTTCCTAACTAAGAATATTATTAAATTTATGAAGGTTGTTTGACCTTATAAAATTAGCCCAAATCCTCACTAATATGAAAGCAATGCTATCACTTGATGCGGAAGCTAATACACTTATCAAAAGTTACAAATATTATAATGATAGTATAATCAATACAACGTAATATCAATCACATTTTTTCAACCAAACAGTTATATCCAAAAATATAATGCATAAAAATATAGTGCAAAAAGTAAAAAATTGAATGAGCACATCAAATTTATAGTGGTTTTGTCAAACCATGACCTACGTCCACTCACCAGAGTCCTCTTTTGGTATTGCACTAAACCTCTTAATGTCTCTCATTTAGCTCCTATAGCTAGGCGAAGAAGCCCTTACAAACTCCATTCCACTTACTCGGTGCGGCAAAGGATCGTACTCCTTTCACAGGCAGAGAACCTTGATTCCTTTTCACCCTCCTGGTGAGGTAGAGAATCTTGACTCATTTTCACCCTCCTGATGAGACGGATAACCAGTAATCACTTTCACCTTCCTTGGTGCGACGGAGTAGCCGAGTCTTTTAACATCAAATAGATTTTCTTTTTTCCAAAACTTCCGTCAAGATAAACCTTGAATACGATGATCCTAAGATGCAAGCTTGCCGAATCAACCGTGTGAAACCCCTCCATACTCCCTTGAAACTCAGAAGGATCTTCTCCTTCTCAAACTCCACCCTTTCCTCTCTCCCTTTCAAGGCTCCATCTTCAAGTTTTCTCCAGAAGAATGGAGACTTAATGTATGCCGAAGTCACTCATAAAGTCTTATGAGAAAACTTAAATATATGGCTTCAAAAAATCTTATAAATTTAATTAAGTCGTCAAAGATAGTATAGTACGATCATATGATCATCCGGTATGATGTGAAAAATTTGACCTGTTAGTACTATACTATCACTAGTTAGTACATTATGAATAGTTCAAATTTGCATGTTAGTGTTGTACGATCATGAGTATGAATGACCGATCATATAATACGATTAGTTTAACCAAAATACAGTTCGTTTAGGATGAATCATGGTACAACAAAAAATCATCTCTTTTAATTATACAGTATGATCTAATTCGTATAGTATGATCAAAATATTAAAATTAAGTAGATTCAAGTGATTAATCACATGATTAAGTTAGACAATATTTTAAACACTATACAATATGATTAATTTCGTACAATACAAATATAATAACTTTTTAAATTCAAAATTTTGCCTAATATAATGAATGGTGAGGTTTTTAATTATAGCAGATCGTCCAGTACAATGTGGTGTTCGCACGGTATGCTTAATTATATTTCAAAAATATTTTTCTAGATAAATAAAATATTTTAATTAATTTATGTAATAACAAATCTTCTAGTATGATATTGATTGTATAGTATGATGCACATAAAAATTAAAATATTTAAAAATTATTTATCCTCCCCTTACGTGTGTGTGCACGATCATCATGCTAATATACACTCTTACATGACTTGTCTAAAGAAATTAAAATAAAAAAATAAAAATTACAAACTCTACTAACAAAACATATTCTATCCAATCTTAAGCCATGAATCTTCAAAATTTAGTGTATGTTATACTTGAAATATTAGTAAATACACAAACAGATATGGGCTACAAATATTAGGAGAAATATAAAGATAATAAGTAATATTTATTATCATCAAAATTATAAACTAAGGGGCCTGAGTTATAATAATCTCCTCATTTTTTATAATTAATAATGTTATTGGTTGAATTTTTAAACTTAAAATATTTTTTTCCTAAACTCTCCATCACTAAAATAACTATAATAAAAAATATGGGAAAGCAAAAAATTTTTAAGATAAAATAAAACCTAACAATAAAAATATATGCATAAGAAAATAACCACATACATACAAAAACTAAAACATGAAATTATGTTTAAAACATAATAAAAATCAAATACACAAAACATATAAATAATCACACAAAACACATTAACAAAGCACACAAATAAACCTTACCATACTTATACCTGATTAGAATTAATAATTGAACCCTTGATTTTTCAGCATAAGTTGGTTACCTCATAATCTTGTTCTTGTTCTGATGACTCTGAAACTAGTCTGCCTAGGAGAATTTTTACTTCTTATCATTTTTCTTTATTACATTTTTCTTATTTTTGCCATTTTTCTTTTTAGGGTAAGTTTTTAAATTTGGGCATTTAAATTTCAGATGTATGTATTTTCTACACCCAAAGCAAATAACGTCAGAAGTAAACTTAACAATTTTATCATTTTTTTCATTTGCTCCACTTTTATTGATGCTTATGTTTATGCTTCAGTAAATTTTCAAATTTGTTTGTTATCAAAGTTATCTCCTTACTGTCATCATCTACTAAGCCACATTTATCAATGTAGTTAGCTTTTAGCACTATAGTCTTCTCATCACCTGTATCCAAAGTCTTTGACTCATATTTTGCTCATAATCAATGAGCGAGCTGATTAGATTGTCAATAAAATAAGCATTCAAATCTTTTGATTCATATATAGCCATGACTTTGATATCAAATTTATCAAGTAGACAAATTAAAATTTTGTTAACCTTTTCAAAATTTGAAATTTCTCTATTAAAGTATACAAAGATGTCACTATTTAAGTAAATCTAGCATACATGTCTGAGATAGTATCATAAGGTTTCATGCAAAAAAAATTAATGTCATGCAGTAAAACATTCAA